AGGTACCGTTTACTGCTAGAAATGTCAAATTGTAAAAAAAGCTTCATTTATTTATACCATGAAAAATATCAGCAAGAAGCATATATCGACTCTAAAGCAAAGCATATGTTTCCTTGACAATCAACGGCCAGGTTTTAGTTTTTGAAATCGAAATACTGGTATGAGATGAAAGGAAATGTCAAATCTATAGAACACTATGATGTAAACTTAAGTAAACTACAGACATGTTTAAAAAATCTATACCATTCGGTTCAAATTTCGGTAAATCAGTTACCGAAACGACGTTTCTTGTTGTTGCCTTAGTCCTATCTGCACGTCCTGGCTGTGGAGCAGCAACTCCTCCTTGAGATACACAAAATGATTAAAATACAATTATAATAAGAATCACATCTGAAACAAAACAATAAAACGATGTGACGGTGTGAATGAGTGACGAAAGCAATGAAATTCCATGCTATTCTTTGAATACTGTTCACTAACGGTTCTGATTCTCGATAATAATGAATCAAGTAGGGGAACCATTTATACATGTATAAGGAAGAGTTATAAAGTGGTTAAAGGCTCAATATGCTGCTAAAAAGTTATTTTTTTCATTTATCAAAAAAGAAAGAAAAAAAGTTCAGTTCAGCAAGCCTCGCCCCTTTCTTACCCATATCAGCCTAGCCTGATAAAATTGATATCAAAAGACAGTAGCATGTTATTCTCTATATAGTATCATTAAAAAGTGGTACAGTGTAGTTTCTTTCTTGCGAAAAGACCAAGTTAACTTGACCAGTTGACAAATAAAGTTTGTGTATTCTGATATCAATTAGTCTTTTTCATTAAGAATTTTGCAGGAATTCAATTAATTTCAGAAAAAAAAAAAGAAAAAAAAGATAAGCAAAGTATATTTTATGTGCCTTGACAAGACTTTATATGAACTGTAGCATACGATAAAATGTCTGACGTCGTCGTCGTTATAGAAGTATGAATGTCACTTTTTAAAGCCATTTATCGTAAATGGCACTTTGTTAATCGCTATACTGTCTACCTAGTAAACTATACAAGAGTTTTTCATTTGTACGATGACGCTGCATTAACTGTGCATATCCTTTATTGATACACAAGTCTTTATGTACTTGTGAATGAAGATAAGACCATGCACTTCTAGATGTAGTAGCCCAACTGCAAATTGGAACTTTCGTTTATCGTTTCTGTCCCGTACCCTATCAGACACTTACACCAGTTGAAAGCAATCGTCCTTGAATTTACAAGAACACTGTCCTATCGTGCCAAGAATTGCAATAAGTCCGTAGTATTACCAGACAAATCACATACGTCATTGTTGACCGCTGCTCGTCAAGTTCATTTGAGCCTCGTCACGACAAAACCAACATAATGGGTTTGCGACCAGCATGGATCAGGACCAGCCTGCGCGTCCGCGCAGTCTTATCAGGATCCATGCTGTTCGCTTACAAACCCTATAACAAGTAGAGAAACTGATAGCGAACAGCATGGATCCTGATCAGAATGCGCGGAAGCGCAGGCTGGTCTGGATCCATGCTGGTCGCAAACGCACTATGTTGGTTTTGTCGTGACGCGTTTCATTTGACTCAAGCATTATCTGGCGCCGAAATTTTCAAGCAGCGGTTATAACAACGATCAAAAAAGCGTGATATTGACATACAACTATGAATGATTATTATTTACTTTGGGCGCCATTATTGGTTGTAATTATTTAAAATTTGATATTCTCCGGAAAACTAACATTGAAAATATTTAAAGTGAAAGAATTGATAGATGTATTCAATAACTTGTTAAAACTTACACCTTTGCACGAAATTAATGGCTATTTACAATGTTATAATCAATATGTGTCACAAAATATGGTAATATGTTTACAGTTCAGATTAAATACATGATTTAATTGTTTATTTCGTGAGAGTTATCAACAATAAGCAAACATGGTCTGATTAATAGAGCATGGATATCATTGAAAAGCAACTACTAGGTTTTAGTATTTTAAGATTGAAATACTTAGAATACATTGCGGAAATATCACATATATAAACTACTGTGCCTTAAACGTAATGACAACGAAAAAAAAAAGATTTGAAAGTTATATCATTTGGTACAGAATTTGTTAAAGCAATTGCCGGCCCAACTTGGCCTGTTGTTGCCTTAGAAACAGTACGTCCTGGATTCGGAGCAGCAATTCCTCCTTGAGAGATAGTACTACAGGTCTACATAAAAATACAATAATGATAAGAAAAAGTTCTGAAACAAAATGGTGTTAATGGGCGGCGAAGACAATATAATTTCATTCAATTCTTCACTGTCGACGTGAATTCTGTCCTTTTTCGAAATAAAGAGTAATGTGAAGTAAGGGAGTCATTTATATAAAAAAAGTTGTAGAATGTTAAATTTAGGCTTATTTTAGTGGAGATGTAAATGGAATGATTTTGTGCCTTAAAAACTTATATGTTTACGAATTAAATCAGACTTGTGCCAGAAATGTTATTGTTTATGCCGTACTATAATCTGCTCGATGATTATTGAAAATGAAGCTAAATGCGACATTTGATACTACATTCTTATAACATAAAATCTATATAATACTTTTTAAATAAAAAAGAATCATATATGCTTAAATTACAAAATTACATCACACCATGCATATGACCTTATTGATTTATATTTGTCTATTACTTATATAAATAATCGTCAGCGCAACACTGTTTTCATTATTATAAGCGTTAGGCTACTATTTTCGCATTTACTGTGTTAACAACAGAACATTTCGAAACCGAGAACCATAACTTGAAAAATGAAAACAAGTACTATTTACAAAAAGATACTCGGCATACAACAGTAAATGTTGAATGCCTCATAGATTTAGTCATGTATGAAATTAATAAAATATTAATGGTTGTGATTAATGATCTAAATGTTTAGGTGAAATACACTCTAAGGTTATTTTAAATATATAATTTTTTTTATAAATGATTAACAATTTATTTCTGAAATTGACCTCTCGCTGAAAAATACAGAAAGGAGCGTGATTGACTGCGGCAATTGTGTAAATTTGATGTCATTGTTAACCGCACTCTTGACTATAAAGAGGCTGTAGAAGAATAATTTGTAAGCAGTATTTATTGTTAAGTGAAAACAATTGGTTTGAAGTTCACCATTTCACAGTTTTTGAAAATTGTCAATATCATAATAAACAAACCGCAAGAAAAACAATTATTGAAGAAACATCTGACATGCCCGAATGAACTTATAATTTAGATTATTATTGAACGAAATTTGTATTTTCGCCTTTATTTTCATCGTGATGATATGTATGGCAACTGACGAACATCCAATGGTTCGAACATTTGCTAAAATACTAAAACCAAGATGTGTCACAAAATACTGTAATATGTTAAGAGGCTAGATTAAAGCAGAATTTAATTGTTTATTTCGTAAAAGAGCATGGGTATCCATTAAAAAAAACTGCTTAGTTTTAGTAATTTAAAATTGAAATACATGATAGAATAAAAGAAAACAAGAGCTGTCGGTAGGACAGCACGCTCGACTATTCTAATTGCTTGATAGTAAAATAGCCTTGATAATGTTAAATTTTTTAAGTTCACAAAAGGGCTAATTTTTTTATATAAATTCATGTTATAGGTCTTAGAGAGAGTCTAATTATACAGTATTGGCTTGACTATTTGGAAGGTAATGTCACAAGGGTGCTTTATTGAGTATAATGATACTAATTACTTATGAATACATAAAATTGACAGAAAAGGTACAAAGGCTTGTTATTAAGATGTTTTATCAAGTAAATCACTGCTTTATTATTACGAATGCATAAAATTGTCCCAAAAAAAGGCACAAAACCCTTCAGTAGTTATGGAGATAACAGCTTACAAGCAAAACTTTACCATGAATTTTTTAAGTTGAAAAAAGGAAGAAAAATCAGCCTAAATGCAAGATAGAATTATGGATCTTTGTCAGTGACCTACAATTCTGACCCTAAATGCATATGTGAAGTTTTAAATAAATATCTTTAATAGTTATTGAGATATGTAAAACTTGCATGTAAACATTAACCAAGAGACTAAGTAGAAAAGGGGATATGAATCAGCCTTAATGCAAGATAGAGTTATGGAACTTGGTCAGTGACATACAATTATGACCCTCAAATTATAACCCTAAGTACATGTGTAACGTTTCAAGTAAATATCTTTGAAGACCTTTAACCTTTAACCAAAATCTCTAAGTTTCAAAGGGGCAAATAATTCTGCAAATATTGCAGACAGAGATATGCAATTTAGCAAAATGATGTACATTGTTACTATAAAAAAGTATTGTAAATTTCAAATGAATATCTCAAGCAATAATTGAGATATTTGACTTTACAAAAAAAAACTTTAACGAAAATTTCTAAGTTTCAAAGGGGCATAATTCTGTCAATATTGTACGAAGAGTTATCCAACTTGTCAATCTGATGTACCTTGTTACTATAAATAAGTATTGTAAGTTTCAATTGAATATCTCAAGCAATAATTGAGATATTTGTCTTTACAAAAACTTTAACCAAAATTTCTAAGTTAAAAAGGGGCATAATTCTGTCAATATTGTAGGCAGAGTTATCCAACTTGTCAATCTGATGTACCTTATTACTATTAATAAGTATTGTAAGTTTCAATTGAATATCTCAAACAATAATTGAGATATTTGTCTTTATAAAAAACTTTAACCAAAATTTCTAAGTTAAAAAGGGGCATAATTCTGGCAATATTGTAGATAGAGTTATCCAACTTGTCAATCTGATGTACCTTGTTACTATAAATAAGTATTGTAAGTTTCAATTGAATATCTCAAGCAATAATTGAGATATTTGACTTTACAAAAAACTTTAACCAACGCAGACGCGGACGCGGACGCTGACGCCGACGCCGACGCCGGGGCGACTACAATAGCTCTCATATTCTTCGAATAGTCGAGCTAAAAATGCCAAATCTAGGACACTATGCCTTAAACGTAATTACAACAAAAATATATTTAGAAATTATACCATTTGGTTCAGAATTTGGTAAAGCAATTGCCGAACCACCTTGGCCTGTTGATACAGAATTCATAGCGACGTTTGCCGATCCACCAGGAGTAGTAACTGTTGTTGATTTTGGAGCATTACGTCCACCGGGAGTAGTTGTTGATTTTGGAGCATTACGTCCCGACGACGGAGCAACAGTACTTTCTAGTGAGGTAGTGCTATCTTGAGATATAAGATAGTGCAAAATAATCAGTATTATACAATTGTATACTAATTGTTTTTAGAAAAAAAAACAAGATGCCGTGCCTGAATTGATATCAATTGATATACGTGTAGAATTAAATCGAGATTAACAATTGTTACCCCGGTGCCTGTATGTCCAGACGTTGGTACAGCAGGTTCAGTTGCAGAGTTACGCTATTATCTAATGCAGGGTAAAAGAGGGACTTATGTGAATAGTTAAAGAATCGTGTGCGGAACGCTTATGTTTCCTTGTATCATACATAGTTTGGAGACTTTACTTTAGTATTGTCGTATATCAATACATGGACACTGCGAAAACTGGAGTGCAGGTATTAGTTACCCGCACCCTCTGTCCGTCTATAGCATGCTCGTTCATTTGCTCATTTTTCAAGGGTTTACCTCTTGTGACGACAAGGAAGGCGATAACAACAGACAAGCCATATTCAGATGCTCGTACAATGGTTACTTTTTTCTAGGGTTTAATATTGTGACGACAGGAAACGTGTTTTTATTTTTCCTTATGATACCAAAGTCTACGCCCAATGTACAAATCAGATAGCCTCGTGTTTCGATGTTCTTTCTATTACATGTAGTCTTTCTTTCGCGAATAGTACGGTCTTTTATTTTCCGGTTTCATATCACTAAAAAGAAACTTTATTTGATTAAAAAATGCTGTCTGATTAAAGAAAATAAATAAAGGATGCTTAAATAAAAAAAAACTCAAGTTTATTTCTTACCATTGTACAAACAATTTAATGTTTTTGAAGCTGTATCGTTGATACATATGTATCCATTCGAATCTTCTTTACATGTCTGGTCATTTTTACATTTATTTCCGCTACAGCCGCTGTCATTGACTGTAAATGATATTAATTGATGGGTCATCGTATGAACGGCAATCAAATAACAATAAAAACATAATAATAATAGTAATAGTAATGAAAATAATGGCGATGATGATAACGGAGGGTAAATGCATCTTATTTCGTTCATTAAAATCTACAGAAGTACGAGCACGAGGATTTAATAAATTCTTTGAAGTGTACATAGTAACTGCAAATTGTTCATCATTTGAAATTCTTCGACATGTCTTTTTAATAAACAAAAATGGTCAAATAAGAGGAAATTTACTTGACCTTTCACATATGTATAAAAGCTTGATGACTCTCTATTGAGAGCAATCTACCTGAAACATATCTATGATAACTTTGTTGCGTCCAATTTAGAGCAAATCTACCGAACAACCTTTAAGAAATATTCCACTTACGCCTTGTGTCAAACAAAGACAGTCGGGATATTCCTCCACATCTCTCGCAACTATTTCCAGGGCAGTTACTGTCGCAGCCCTCCGTAAATAAATTACTGTATAATTGATTGCCACAGTGACATTGATTCCCTACCTGTATATGTGAAATTAATTCATCTTAATATGAGACTGGCATCATTAACATTATAATTTTCATAGAATTAATATGTTTATCTGGTAAAACTTTTTTTGACCTAAGTAACCGATGTACCCAAATGAAACCTTTTTGTATGTATAAAAATAACCCTTGTAACTTAATTTTTGTGAAAGTGATTATGATATCATTTGCACGAGTAACGTGTATATGCATTTATTCATCAAAATTTGCGCCGTAATGGATGAAATAGTAGCTTCAGCCTGATATATGTTTTGATGTCTTCTTTTTGAACTCTAATAAAATACCTTTGTACCGGCGTATATATAGCCTCTACTGCGACACCTAGACTTGCATAGACTTCCCGTGTTGTTATTCCAGTTGTTCAGTTTTGTTTGAAGCACTCCTATTTGATCATCGAAACATCCAAGGTAACCCGATGAAACAAATGTGTATGTTTCGCCTAATTTATCTGAAAAGGTGTAGCATATTATTGTAGATGTACACATGTAGCTGCATGCCGAATGAAATAATGTCATCCATATTTTCCTGAAAATCATAATTTAGGATTCAAAACAATATTAGAATTTATCAAAATACCACACTTCAAATTAAGATTTTTTTTGACAATATAAATAAATTAATCGTAATGTCGTAATTAAAAGTTTAATAAGCTAAAATCTAATGTGAAAATTAGCTAAAATCTAATCATTTTTAAACTTTACAGAAATCAGCTAATATATGATTATTTTACTTACCATTAGGAGATTTTGAATGACATCCAAATATAAACAATGTGAAAATAGACAACGTAAGCAAGATCATGTTTATAACATTTAATAAAAAATAGTGTAATGTATCATATCTACACCAAATGTTTTAACAGCAATGCAATGAAACAAGTTAACTATGACATTAATACCTGCTCTCTACTTTTTTAATCAAAACACAGACTTTGTGGCACTTTCAATCAAGTATATCCGCTGATAAAAAACGAAAAACAAACATCAGAAAACAATTATTAAACTTTTCTGCTGCAGACGTAAATCCTGTCATAAAAATGCGATACAGATTTTTTTAATTTGCAAACATTTACACCATATGTTTATATGAACCCTGTCTGAAAGACCATATATGTCTGATATAGTTCAAGTCCGTGTTAGTGTTCGGTTAAATAATATGTAAATTGAGAACATTTCAATTTTAACCAGAAATAATTATATGATTCTATAGTTTTACATGTTCTAGATATTAAAAAAATGTCATCAATATATGAGAACTTGAGTAGCAATAATTAAAACGTTGATTAATCATTATCTGATACCAATGTTTCAATTTCTGTTAATAAGTTATATCCATACACGAGTTTATGCTGCGTTCTGGGAACGTTGCCTTTGCCTTGTTGATCTCTATTCTTAATTTTACACAAAAAATGTATTTCATCACTTGATAATTAATCATAAATCTTTTTTTTCGAGAGGTGATTCAATGTTTTGGAATCATGACTAAATTTTACAAATAATATCACGACAATTTGCGGTATTGCAGGCCAAAAAGTCTCATCACAGACGTATCAGAACAAACTTATATATCAGAAAATATTTATTTTATTTGCATGAAGCTTTCAGAACGAACATACATAATAAAATAAACAAAATAGGAATCACTCAAGAAAGCCCAAAACGGCAAAATTGCAAATGTTGAGATTTGTTAACCTATTTGATATTTGACCATCTTGCGCTGTTCATTTTTTACAAGGTTTGCTTAATGTTCTTACACCCGCTCATACGATAACGCTTGGTGCTATGTCACGTGAAACGAGATGAGATTGCTGCTCTAAACCTTGTAGTCCAAGAGATGGCGGGGTTTTATTGCAATTTACCGTATCACCAAAAGAAACATTGCCATTATGAAGTATATTGTTTGTAGTTTCTAAAAACCCATTTCTTAAGTTACGCAGCCCGGGCAAAAATATGAAAATTCAAGATGGCCGCCAATATGGCCGCCATAAATTACGAAATACCATATAATTTTTGTTTCTTGATTTTTTACATACGGATTTTGTACAATATAGTTTTAATTGCACAATATCAGGTAAAATATGGCTACTTTATGATTCAATCAAGCAAAAAATGACAGTTATATGGCAAACTTTAAAATTATCACTATCAATTTACCTAAAAAGTGGTAAAAAATAGCATTTTTTGACAATATGATGACTTTCGTTTTTCCGTATTAAAACAATATAAATGGAATTGCATTGAAATTGTGTGTACTTTATCAATTTAACATAGCTAGACAAGTTAAGCATAAAAAAAATTATTATCTGAGTATTTATGATGTAAACAGTAGATCTTCAAAAGTGGGAGGGGTAAATTACCGAAATTTTTTTTTTAAATTACAATGTTCCCAAAACATGCCTTTACATTATAATTTCAGTTTAATGTATAGGATATTGTGTTTAAATTGTATCTTATTTGTCATTTGCACATTTCTTGATAAGTTAAGCATAAACTTCATTACCTGATCATTTATCACAGATGAGTACAGCTTCAAAAGTGGGTGGGGTAAAATAACCCCAAGAAAGCGCGTTAGAAATAAATAAGCTCCTAAAACTTGCCCTTATTTTACAATTTAAGTGCAATAATCATATATTAATTGAATTTTGTGGTAAGATATATAAATATGTATTACATTTAAGAAGAAAAGAAACATCATGTCATAGCAACCTTTAAAGATTATCACAATTAACACAAAAATTTAATAGGTAAAAAAAAACGCAGTTTTTTGCATTTTGTTGCCTTTTAGTATATCTTTTTGACACAAAGTAGAAGAATTTGGGCTACAGCTGTTTTAGTTGATTATAGCTGTAATAGTTTGCCATAAAAATCATTACAAGAGAATGTATCACAGAGGGATAGAGTTAAAAAAATGGGTCCGACATAACATTTTAAAAATTAAAGTGCTAACAGAACATGCTTTTACTTTTTAATGTTTAATAGTCATGTTTTGTTATTTTCTGACAATTATTATCAATAAATTATGTTAACGATGTTCCTAGCATAGTAATATTTTGGTAAAACACTTTTATTGCAGATATTTATGTGAAATCTACGAAATTCTTACTGAATAATTTTGAATAAAAAAGTTTGGAAAGCTGCGCTCCCTATTGTTGGTGAAGTAAATATGGTCTTTACTAAAAAACGCCAGTTATAATGACGTTATGTATTTATACTGTGTTTATCTATAGTGTATGGAGTGAAAAATTATCAAATATTGTATGTGTGTACTCAAAAAGATGTTTTTTGGTAAAAAAGAGGCCTGTATAGCAAATACAAGTATTTTTCACATTTCAGTATATAAATTCTTTAATCCATTAAGAAAAAACATCATTTAAATGTTTTATTTATCATAGTTAATTCACACACAAAATGTATAAAAACAACATACTAGTATTTTGGTAACTTTTGTTTCATCTTTGTAACATAAAATAGATGTAAGCGCGTGTTTTAATTGAAATTGTCGCGAGGCATGTGTCTCAGAAAAGAAGCTCTAAAAAAGTGTGTGGGATAAAATTGAACTTAGACCAGAAGACATCACGATGCTTATACAACATACTCTTATGGACAGAAACAGTTTTTATTACGTTCTTTCTACAAAAAAATGTAATTTTATTAATTTTGATACATATTTATAACACCTGTAATTGATTATGTTTTTCTTAAAGGCCCATTATGCCTTAGAAAAGCTTTTATCTTCCTTTTTCTAAACTGGCACTGGCACTTGAACTATTTTACATGTTACATTTTTGCAATACGTATAGTTTCTGTGAATGGAAGGAAGTTAAGTACTACTTTGCTTACATTTTGCTACATTTACTACAAAGTATTTTAGATTTATTGCTATTTTATTCAGGTAACAAGCATATTACATTCTCTTAAACCGTTATTTAATTTATGTGTTTTTTTAGGCATAATTTGCCTTTGATAAAGTAAGAAATTTTGCATCATAATTACAATTAAGAAAGTGTGCATTAAAAACATCAAATACACACTTATATATTAATCAAGAACATTATGTCTGTGAAATGCATTTTTGTGAGAGTGTAGTTGTGAAATATGATATGAACACATTATCATTTTTTTAATTTGACAAAGGTTAGAAGAATTGTCATTTATAAAATTAGCAACCATATTGAATAAGTTTAGCAAAAGTTGTGAATGTTACTGCACACAAAACATCCAAATAGTTAAAACATGTTTAAGCTATCAATACTTGTCATAGAAATACATACATCTTGAAATTATGCACTAATACATTCTGTACAAAAGTCGATTTAAAAGCAACAATTTTCACACAAAGCAACCGACCAGCATTTAGTTGTAATTTACATTTATAAGTACATAGTCGCTTTTCCCTTCAGATCAACTAGCTATGTTATGTGTTGTCTCACTATTCAGCAGAAATAAAATTTTAAATGTCAGTACTTTGTGAGTGCATCAAAATCACACTGAGCACTGTCACTGTGTAGATGGCAAAAATGATGCATCAGCTCCTGACAGTTTGATCAATCTGTGATGTTATCTTGTATATATTGAAAATCTTTCAGCACAATAACATTGCTGTGTTGCATAGTTTTAGTTTTTTTTTTCTTTTTGACTTTTTTTCCCATTGGGTGAATCTAAAATTCCTTCGTGAATACTAAATATCACCCTTAAGGATGTGTTGCCTGACTTAAGATTTCTCCTTTGGTGGCTTTTATCTGATATTAAGACTCCATAACCCTATCTTAAAAATTTCAATTATTTAGTTCAACATAATTTTCATATTTAGGCTACACGCATTATTTTTACTTGGGTCCATATACTGTTTTTGATGGAGTGGCGCAATGGTTACATTGAAGATCCCTTGATTACTGTCTTATGAACTTGTCTACGGATGTTTAACATTTTAAGTTTCACTTTTATAATTTCACTACATTTTTGTTTAAATACTGAATTTTGCTTGGAGGACGTTGTAAGAAGCTTGCATATATCACTGCTTTCAAGAAACGAGCGTAAGTGTGCCATATTGTGTATTCTTAAAGCTTTCCGTTTTTCATTCCATTTGCTTGAACGATTTTGAGCATATTTATTCTAAACAATGCTAGTTTGGCATAAGTTACAGGTGTGAATAGGGAAAAAATACAATCCCTAAAGAACTTCCAATAAACAGTA